TTACTCTAGATTTATCCGTGCTTCTTGTCAGTGTGGAATATTTACAAAAAATATTCTGCCTAATTAATGAAAAAGTTTGGCTAGCATTTTGAAACTACTTACTGTAATAGTCAGGTGGAATCTAGACTGTGTATTTCTGCCAAATTTTCTTGGACCTTTACAAGTAAAGAACAGCAAAATATAGACGTTAGCTTATGTACTCAATGTGTCATTTTAGCAGAATTGGCTCTGATCCTATTGAGGGAAGGAACAAAACTTACAAGACTCATGATGTTTAAAGTCAGAATTTTATCTGGGAGTGATATATTTTATTTGTTTTGCATACACTAATGAAATTTGCTGATTAATTCACTTCGTGCACACGATCCATAATCAAAACCGAAACATGTGGTAGCCATATTGGATTTCAAGGTAGAGGTGTGAAATCTCAATTTATTCTTCTAATTATTCAACTTCAAGGGATATTTAAATTTTTAAAACTAATTTCTTGCTTATTTGAAACATATTGGTGATATTTGAAGGTGCTTAAATTAGATTTTTTAAAGCACCTTATTTTCAGTTTTTTTGTTATTATGACATAACTAAAGATAGCAACTTCTTTTGTATTGATTTATAAATAATACTAAATAGATTGTTTTGACTTACAGTGTGGGACTGATTGCACATGAATTATTTATTTGAATATTTCTGTTTTCTTTCAAGTTACACAAAAACCCATATCTGGGTTTAGCAGGAATTTAATGCGGAGGTGTAATCGCTTATGAATTTGAGATGAAATATAAGGTGATCAAATACTTTTTGGTGATGCTGGCGGCAGGAAGGATGTCCTGTTGCAGTCAGTTTTCCATCAAATCTCAAGAAGCCTCTGACTGAAGACTGTTGCTAGACTGACACAATTTACCTGCAATGCTTTGTATCTCTAGTAGCTTTGGTTTAAAGCCTGCGTCTGACTCTGAATGGAGCAAGATCTAATTTTAACAAAAAAAATGTCATTCATAATGCCTTTTGAGAACCAGATCTGCTGCTTCTCTACATCTCCCTACTTATAAATCAATTAATGAAACCTTTAATTACAAAGTCAACCGATTGAGAAATGTGTGTTACTAATAACGGTATTCGTAGAGGGACAAGTGATAATAAAGCCCCGTGTCATCAAACTGAACAGCTGCGTCAAAACAAAAGCTAAGACCTCTCAGAGGTATAAACACGCCAGTCAGTGTCACAGGTTAGACACAAAACATGCTAATCCAAAGAGAGGAATCCACTCACAAACGACTGGATTCTGGTAGCGAGGCGTCACTTTTCAGCTTCAATGCTGACAAATTTTAACAGGACCGGGAAAAGAAGTCATTAATCAAAGCTGACGGAGGCGCCACACGGAAAGATGCGGCAGGAGGCGTTGTTTACCTTCATAATTTGATAGATGATGAACTTCGTGCCGAGTCTGAATCCTCAAAGCTGACGGAAAAAAATACAACTGCTCAACGTTGAGCTACGTGTTCAGAGATCCGACTGGCTGCTTTTAAATGACAGTATGTGACTGTGGATAAAACGGACAACAGTAGGAACTTCTGTTGAGATGCACATTTTTTATATTGGGATGTTGCACAATCAAAACAACAAGATTGTTTTGATTGTGATTGTTCACATTTGGAGGTGAAGAAAATATCTGGATTTTTCGAATGTATCAAAAAGAGTTTTCTTACCTATTTTTGGAAAAGCTTTATACCATTAAATATTTATAAAAGTGGTAAAATTCTTAATGTAAAGCTAACAGTTTCTCCATTTAAATGAAATTTAGACTTTAAATCTTTATATCTGTGAAATTGAAACTCTATTAGTAAACCTTTACTAGTTTTGCACTTATCAAGCTTTTGTGGATAATTTCTGATCTGGATTCCTCTGAAACTTTAACAATAATAACAATAATAGTAACCAGATAAAAATCATGTTAGATCTACAAACTCTTTTTCAAGAGCAACGTGGCAAGAAAGCAGCACCATTTGCAGAAAAAATGAATTTATCTGCTAATACCAATTTAATCTGATTTCAGGTTTTCTTTAGTTGTTTTATGAAGGACATCTGAAATCAAATACTGGTTTTTCTTTGTATCCATGGGAACAGCACGCCATGCTGTAATATCAATCTCTTATGAGTGATGATTTGAGAATCTTGCTGCTAGCCTTTAAAATTAGCAGAAGCTTGCCTAAATTTCTGAGGGTATTCCGTAACTCTGTTCAGCCTTGGTGATATTAGGCCTGTCACAGTAACAAATTTTGCTGAGCGATTAATTGGCTCAAAAATTATTGTGATAAACAATAGTATTGTTTGAAGACCTTTTTACACCGATTTAATGGAAACGATGTAATGATGCATGCATTTTCCTGCCAAAGATAGAGGCACTTTATTTTCAAAAGAGCATTTAACACTGATAAACAAAATCAACAAACAATCAAAAACTAAAATAAAATGGATTCTCAGTCTCTCTGAGCAAAATATTTACTTAAATAGCAACTAAACAACATAAAACCAAAGTGGAAATAAACACTCAACCAAAAGAGTGCAGATGATGAACTCTGTATACTATGTCGCCCTGCAGTCCGACTACCTGATGCAATAGTTCCCACTATACGATGGTTTGCCCCGATTTTCCCCTTAACGACAATCTTAGAACGTTGGGGTTCTAAGATTGTCGCTTCCGATTTCGTGACCGATCATCTGCAGTGTGTGGTGTATTACTGGGAGCGTTAACACAGTCTGTTGAATGTGACAGGTAGCCAATCAGAAAGTATGATTCTCCTCCTGCTTTCTGAGGGGAAATTACAGAGGAGAATCCCAAACAGCTGACACGGCGCAATCCCAAGTCCAGCGGACATTGGAAACAACATTAATGTTTACTCAACATTGTGTGCAAAGAATATAGAAATGACCAGGGGAGGAGTTAATCAACTGCTACCACAGTTGATAAACCCGGTAACTTTTCAGTTGTTCCTCATTAACATGACATAAATAGGTTATGAAGATGTTCATTCAGTCAGGACTGACAATAGCCACTGGATTGCAGGTAGATTGTAGTAAAGCACTGATTAATGCCTGGTTTTAAAACTAGTTAACTGGACTTGTAGTCATTATTTCGTGCCCATTGTTGGACACCACACATCAGACCGTTTACCCAGGACTTCTGTCGTCTAATGTGTCTCTCAGGTTTTAAAAAGGGGTTGACAATTGGCCGGCAGCTCTGAGGTTGTGTGGTGTGTGCTGGGCATTACACTAAGGAAAAAAGGAAGAGAGGGTCAGTGGAGAGAACCGGAGTTGAGCCTTTTTTCATTCAGTGTCATCAACAGTAAGAGAAAAAGGCAGGAAGAAATGATAAAGTCCATAATTAAAATGAGGTCCATAGTTTTAATTTATCATGTGATCAATTGATTTATTGTTTATTGCACATGTTGCATAACACTTTTCACAAGGGATTGCGTCTTTCCCAGCCGAACAATGTCCGTATTACAACCTGATTTTTATTTTATTTTGAGGCTGTTGGCTGCGTCGGTGCAGCTCGTCTGTCCTCTCCAACTTTCCCAATAGTGTTGTAAACTTTTTGAATTTGCAAAGTGGCTGTCATTTACAAAATGGTTCATTCTAGTTCTTCTTGTAGTTTAGAAGTGAAGCCAACGTCGAATGTCTAGCAAGCTGACAAGTTGACAAACTCTGTCAACATAGACATATCGTTTCCTTCCTTTGCAATTCAACTTATTTCGTCTGGGCTTTTTTCCACTCAGCTCAATTTATCCTGTGGAATTCAATCAGCGAGCAGCAGGAGGGGTTTTAAAAGATGACGTTAATTTGAAAGGCTTCGAAGTGAACGAAGCCATTCAGTCTGTTTTGGCCGGACATCTAAATATTGAGTTAACTTTAATAGCCATCTTGTTGGCTCACTTATCTTTTTGCTATAGAGCATGGTTGTTTACAGCAGGCAATTTTATAGCAGCAAACTGGCACATTACAGATGTCTAATGTTGGCGACTGGGTAAGATTTAAAACTTCAACATTGTCCACACCTCCAGGAAGTAATCGTTTTTCAATAGCCAAGAGCCCAAACCCTACGGTACGAAGCAAGGGACTGGTTTCCACCAGCCTATTGTCAACGCAGTTTGCCTTGTTTTGAAATAGTGAATGGATAATATCTGCAAAAACTTGTTAGAATAATTAGCTTTAGTGGCTTTAAACAACTAAAATCAGCAATTGGGTTTCCATCTGACGAGCTGTTAGTCTTCAGTCGCTCTGAGAATTTGTTGACTTAAGGTAAAGTAAGAGAAATCTGTCTAGTAATAACTTTACTTCAACAAACCCAAACTAATAATGTCCTACCGCCAGCAGAAAACATTGTACAAACGGTTCAACAGGATTGAAACTAAGTGCAAACATACGGACAAACTAGTTAATGAACTGATGGTTAGACAAAAGACGAAAACTCAGGCGGGGTAATTAAAAATAACGCTTAGATGAACCGATAAAACGAAGCCGCTCATAGCTCAGATGAGAGCTGAAAATAGAGTGCGGTTTTGGAAATAAGCACGGCTTAGCGAAGCAGAGCCGAGGATGGTGCCTAAAGCTCTATCAGACGTGACAGAGAGATGCAGTCGACGGGACCTGGCAGATCTGCCGGGAGACTGGAATCTCATTTTGGAATTTCTAATCTAAACCCAGAAGTTTTCAGTGGGAGAATCCATCGAGGCGCACGCATGGCTGCGAGCTGAATGAGAGGGGGAGATGAATGCACTGTGGAGGAGGCGAGAGAACTGAGGTGGAGAGGTGTGGAGTTGTTTATACACTCAAATGAGGCTGTTGGAGACTGGTTGGTTAGAAATTGGACATGATCAATTTCCCCACTTAGGTAGGGGTGGAGCTGTGTGTAAAGCCACACGTACTGCTTAGGGCGAGCTGTGAATGTTTTATGTGTTTAAAGTTTGAGGAAAAATGAACTCCTGTGTTTCTCTTCACAGAATACCAAGGCGACTACTACGGACCAGGGAGTAACTACGACTTCTTTCCCCATGGCCCTCCGTCCTCTCAGGCCCAGTCTCCGGCCGACTCCCCCTACATCCTGGGCTCTGGGCCCGGAGCCATAGAAGGGTCCGGACACCACCCATCAGACGACCAAAGGTACACGGACATGATCTCTCACGCGGAAACCCCCAGTCCCGAACCGGGCTTACCGAGCTCCCTTCAGCCGGTCCCTGGGGACGCATACGGGGGCGGACCCAGTCCCCCTTTCTCCTTGGCCAGTAACTCCAGCTACAGCGCTCCCATGTCCCACCAGGGCCAGGAGATGGGCGAAACAGGCGCCTGGTGAAAGGACAAAGTAACAATAACAACCAGGGACCAACCATGGGCCGAATGTCTGCCCGGCTAATTCAGGAGACGTATCAACGTCATCAGAAGGGGAAAGTACAGCTGAAATGTCTTCAGAGAACCTTTTAAAATCAGAGACTCATCTCAACAACGGAAAAAACTGATGGAAAGAACAACACGAAGCAGGAAAAACTTTATTTTTGCTGCACGGTAGACGCTCCAAAGCATATATCCCTTGTTGGGTACGGGACTGAATAGGAGATTCCATCCAGCAGAAATGCTTCTCGCCTTCCCCTGATCTTCTAGTGCTGTAGGAACACATTAGTGAGAAACACCAAAGGGGGGACATGTCTAGTTTTCTTAATTTCACACCACGTTTAAAGAAAAAAATGTTGCTCCAAAGCAATTTCAATTCTCGCTTCATGTCTGCGTTGCCACTTAACGACAATATTGGACCTCAACGCTCATAGTCAAATGCATCAGTCGCAGTCCACTATGTTTAATCTCATTTTAAATGTTTTTTTTTTTGCTTGTGTAAAACAAAACATCAAATCAACAGCTGCCGTGTGACAGACACGCACTGACTTTCCCTCACACATCCTGGCTTAGAGTCCCTTAATGCACAAAAAGTGTTCTTGATCATAACTTGAAAGAAGGATGTCTGCACTATTATTCAAAACACGAACACAATTATACAGACACTTGTACCCTCCTACACACATGCACACACACACACACACACACACACACACACACACACACACACACACACACACACGCACACACATCACACCCATCGAGGCGGCCCTGATAGTTCTGCTCCGCTCACTGCTTCACCTGACCTTCCTTTTGTTACTGTCCCTTTTAAAAAAACATGTTTTAATGGAAATGATTTTCAAAAGAACATTGAACCCATAATGGAGAATGTCCTTCAGCAGCTGAGGTCCCCTTCCTCTAAAGGCAGAAAACAAAAGAGGGGGCAGACAACATCTGTGACATTTCGGCTGTCTCCTCCGAGGCGTGCGTTGCCATCTAGTGGTCGCCTTTTCAAAGCGCACGGGGTCTAAGTTCGACTTGTGCACCAGAAGACAACAGCCTTTCAATATATTTTTCTTACCCTACTTCATAACCAAGTCTCATCAGGGCTCCTGGTTTTGTTTTTTTTTGTTCTTTGTTTTGTTTTTTTTAAAGAAAATTTAACTCAATTGTCAATTTCAGCTCAGTCCTTCCTTCTTCGATGTCACCTCTGAGTTTCCTGTACTGTTGTTTTCAGATCATTTTGTGTTTTCTTTTGGACATTGTATGAGATCTAGAAAGAATGTGTCTTTTCTCCAGAAATTCTTGGTTACAAACGTGTGTGAGGAGTGTGCACGTGCTCGGTGACTGTGAGTGCCTGCCGGTTTAAAGGGGTATATGGAGGGGCTGGGGGGGCTGGAATGAAGGGGCAAGGCTGTATTATTTCTATGTAAAATAGCACTGATAATAAAATCTCTCTTAAAACGTGAAAATCTGTCGTTTTTTTTGTTTTTGTTTTCAGCTTGATCTTTTCATTTGTAGACATTTCAATATGCCGGACTATAATTTGTTGCTGCGGCTAAAGTTTAGTTCGGCCATTAAGGTCTTAACAGGAGACAGGATAAGCTTGTTAAATGTAATGAAATGCTTTAATGCTAAACACCCTATATCATGCAAAGCAGTTTCAATTAACTCGTCCCTATCAACTGAGATGAATAATTGCAGGTTAATGCGCTTGAATTAGGCAAATTTTCTCAAAGGTCCAATGGTCTGTAGTGTCCATTCTAGGTAAAATTACATACATCATATGCTTCATTTTCCAGACACATTGTCCCATTTTGTAGCACAATAAAGTAACTATGGTACCTCCAGTTATAAAATGGAGGCAGATATCAAATGTGACTTAAAGAAATTTGACTTTGAACTTGACACTTTGAAATTGGGCCTCTGTCTCTTTAAGAAACTCCAGCTCTTTCTGAGAATCCGCCTTCAGGAAGTCATCACAATATGGCTCCTCTATTAACCCTCCAAAAACATTTTTACCAGAGTTGCAGTGAGAAGTAGCTCCTATTGGAAGGTGCTCAGTTCCACCAGGTGTTTGCTAATTGCCTCTGGCTAGTCTGAAGGAGCTGAGTGGAGGAATCGAGGGGGCTCGAAGGTGGCACTTTGCACATCTGATTGGTTGCTATGGAGATTAAAGGATTTCTTGGACCGATTTAACCCAGCAGAACTGAGAAATGTATTACGTTAAATTGGGTAAAGTTGTAGCGTTGATTAGCTACAATAAACATGAATAATGTAAATATATGAATCAGTCTTATGGTATAGGCCAGGATCTATCAAACACAATTTGTTGTTGGTTTCTGCAAATGTACGGTTCCTCATTCACCACAGATGCTCAAATCTCTCCTGGAGCAAGCAGCTGGTTGAGAGGCCAGACTGCTGCCTGTGTGATGGACCAGTGGAGGTTTCTCTCTGCTTCCTGGATGTCCGGAGGCTCCTCTCTTTGGATTTGGAACTGAAGTTACAGAGGGATTAAACACTAATCTGAGCGCTTACAGTGCAAGAGGTCCTTCCTGGATCACATTTGCACAAAATAATATGCAATACTCTACATTAAAATCTAAACTATAGGCTCAGTTTATTTGTTAATTGTCGTCTTTGGGACAACCATCAGAAAAATGTTGACACTCATTTCCAGACAGACAGACGTTTATGAACTGGCTCCTCTTCCAGCAGTCATGATATTAAAATAATGCTCACTTGCACTTTTAGTCACGCCTCCCACATTACAGAGGAGAGTGTAAAATGAAAGCGGGACCCGTCCCTTTAACCATGACAACAGTGATGGAGTTCCCATGCAGCCATGAAGCACACACAGGAAATCCTGGCTTGACTTCGGACCAGTACCTCGGGCAGTCTGGACCTTTTCCAGATCCCTTGACCAACCTCCCCCTCCTTCTCTCCTCTCACCACCTCCCCCTCATCCCCTTATCCCCCTCTTTATCCCATCCTCTGGCTGCACGTCCAGCCCTCTCTCTGTGGGGCCAGGTGGGCAGACGGTGGCCCAGGTCTGCAGTAATTTTCCTCCTGACTGGTTTTAATGTAAAGGGTAATGTGAGAGGAGACAGGCGCACACTGTTTGAGCATATATACTCTCTCTCTCTCACACACACACGCATGTGCGCATGCACACAAGCTCGGATGTGTTCCCCAGCATCCACCAGTCCATTACCAAGAGGCTCTACATCCTCTTTATTTATTTCTTCTTTGCTCCCTCTGTTTACTCTCTGGAGTATTTTCCTCAATTCTGGGTTTTATCACTCCATCTCCTCGGCTGCGTATCTCCAGCAGAGCGAGGAACACAAGCACACACACAAACACACAAGAACAGAACAAAATGGAAAAAAACCCTGAAATGTTTGGAAACGAGTTTTCTCTGCAAAAAAAAAAAAAAAAAATCCAAAACAATTGAACACACGCAAAACATAAGAAACTTGTGCTCAAACCTCCAGCACCCAGGTAACCTTCACCTCCTTTTCACCCACAAGCATCTGGTTATCGCTCTCTCTCTCTCACACACACATGAACTTGCACACACACACAAACCGTCCCATTAACATCAGTGCTTTCGTAATGGATGTGTTTGTGGTGCTGCTGTGGTAGAGAGGAGAGACCTGAAGTAGCTGTTATAAATCACTCGCTTGTTCCCCCCCTTCCCCCACTCCTTCGCCCCCTATCACACTCACAGGCATACACACATTGGTATCACTACATGCGGCTCCCATTCACTGACTCCGCAGCAAACACACACTCTTCTCCTTTTCTCCTGCATACATATGCACGGAGCCCTTCCTCCCACTCCCTCCGTTCGCTCTACCGCCCGGGGTGGGTAAATCCTATTACCCTATGAAGAGGAGGAACACATCATTAATTACACTCAGATACTCCTTTATACACACAAACATGTATTTATGCCAAACTTGAGCGCAACGCGCCGATCGGACACCAAACTCCAAAATGAGCCGTGTCACACCACGCGAGATTCCCGCATGCGTTTCCCTTTCAGCCGCATCTTGACAGGTGACATTAAAGTAGAGGTGTTGTATCTGATGCTGCGCGCGCGCACACACACACACACACACACACACACACACACACACACACACACACACACACACACACACACACACACACGCACACACACACACACACACTCGCAAACACTTCTTCCCAGGCCTCTGCTTCTGCGAGGGACATGTCAGGACGTGAGAGAGAGCAAAGTTATGATCGCCGAGAGAGATTTCAGGCAACACGGACAGGCAGATCAGGGACTGTCAGAGCGTCACCCTCAGATTTATTCGGCGTCTCAACAGCCTTTTCAAGGTTTGCCAGATAGATGGGTGCCATAAAGTGATATACACCATGCCATAAAATAAATAGAGCGGAGGCAAGCCATGCATGGCCGGGTCCGTCAGGCCAAGTGTTTATGTACCCAGGTGGGCACCTTTAGGACACATTAAGTCACATCTGTCTGGGTAATATCAGAAACCACGGCACTCTGGTGAAGAGAAACTACGATGCTGATTTTTTTCTTTTTCTTTTGGGCAACTTCTTTATTATTCTTTTTAATGTTGAATTTAACTATTTGGGCAAAAAATGTAAAGAAAATACCTCATTTGTGTGTGCTCATTATTAAAAGATAAACAATAGCAGATGGCAAACCACCTCAGTCTATAGTGCAAATACATGTTTATTTTTTTTAAATGTCTTGTTGCCATTAAACAAATACATTTTTGTAATTCCAATTTGTGTGATTATATGGTGAATGAAAACAGAGCTACTTTGAAGTAAAAGGAACCAAAAGTCTACAAAGTTGGACATGTAGCATTTACGCTTATTTAGGCTTATCTCATTTAAGATCTGTAAAGCTGAATTTAAATAAAATCCATAAATAATTAATACTGAAAGAAACTTGTCTAATTTGACAATTAACACACAACATATACTTAATAAGTATTCATAAGTACAGTGGGAAACGTCTTAGCTCAACCGCAGAGTCTCATTTCAACAGTCTTCTATATTAGAAGTTTTAGGGAACAACCAATCAGCGCCAAGGAAAATAAAGATCTCTCCTAGATAGGCTGCTATGCAAACGCAACGTAGAATCAAGAACACATAACTTAGCTTCCAAAGTTGCATTTTTCTTCAAATATTTTAATAAGATTCACACAAAAAATCTGTGATGATTAAACCACAAATAGCTGGATGTTGTACTGTATCCAAACCTTTGATCATCTCATTTTTCAATCTATTATAAGGCATGTCCAGCTAAAGAGTGACCGTCCAGCTAGAGTCACAGAGAACATAGATTCAATGTTCAAAAGTGTGTTCTTTTCATAGAAAATGTATGTGTTGTTTGCTCCACAATTCTTGCCTCAAAAGAAAAATGGCAAGAAGACAGCCCTAGTCAAAA